TTGCAGGTGTGGTATGCCAAGATGCTGATTAGACAGATAAAAGGCTGCTCTAAAATATGCTGTTTTTTTGGTTATTTGGGGGGGGGGGTGTCTGAAAATCACAGTCAGTATCCATTTGCCTCATTTAGTGCAACACATCTCCAGTACACAACTCCTGAAAGCTAAAAACATCCCAGTTCTTGCATGGCAAGCAGAGTTGCAAAGTAATAAATACAAATACTTTGTTACTGTACTTAAGTAGAATTTTTAAGGTATCTGTACTTTACTTGAGTAATTATTTTTTCAGCCTACTTTTTTACTACTAGTTCTTACATTTTCACACAATTATCTGTACTTTAAAAAAGGCAAGAAGAAGAAAGTTGTTACTTTTATTTCATTTTTGCTTGTTTTCATTCCAGCTTCTTGTAAAAAAAAACTATCCATATAAATTGTGCCTGCTAGATAGAGTGAATTTAATTGCGGTTGAATGAGAAGTATAAATATATATAAAATTCTGATATTGTATTAGTTTGTACACAAATCCAACAGGACAATCATCAAAATAAAAGGACTGTACTTAAGAAGTATTTGTATCTCATGAATTATATTGTTATATTTGGCCGCAGCCCTCAGATAGATTTTCATTTTGGGGAAAAGGTTTGTGCAGCCTTGATATATGTATATAAACTGAAACAGTGCATCCTAACCATAAATTAATTATTTTTAATACAACAGTCATTTTTTTGTGAGAGGTCACCTGAATGACCTTACAGAAAATCTAATTGCTCATTTCAAATCAATACTTTTACTTTTAACAGTTAAGTACAAAAAATATCAGGTACTTTAAGACTTTTACTCAAGTAATATTTTTAAAGACTTTAACTTTTACCAAAGTAATTTTTGGTAAGATACTTGTACTTTTAATCAAGTATCACATTGTGGTATACAGCACTGATGGCCAGCGTTCTCACTGGACATGTCACCCATTGAGCATGTTTGGGATGCTCTGGATCAGCATATGGCAGAGTGTTCCAGTTCCTGCCAATATCCATCAACTTCGCACAGCCATAGAAGAGGAGTGGACTACTGTATGAGGCAAATGGTGGTCACACCAGATACCGAATGGTTTGTTGCATTTATATTTTTGTTCAGTGTATATCTGTATGCAATATATACAGCGGATAAAATAAGTATTGAACACGTCACCATTTTTCTCAGTAAATATATTACTAGAGGTGCTAATGACATGAAATTTTCACCAGATGTNACATATATCAAGGCTGCACAAAGCTTTTCCCCAAAATGAAAATCTATCTGAGGGCTGCGGCCAAATGTAATAATATAATTCATGAAATACAAATATTTACTAAGTACAGGCCTTTTATTTTAATGGTTATGTCCTGCTGGAATGAAAAGAAGCAAAAATGAAATAAAAGTAACAAATTTCTACTTCTTACCTTTTTAAAAATGTAAGGAGTAGAAAGTAGGCTGAAAAATAATTACTCAAGTACAGAAACCCAAAAATTCTACTTAAAGTACAGTAATAAAGTATTTGTACTTAGTTAATGTACAACTATGCTATAACTCTACAATATCTGGTAAACTGGCTGAATTACACCCATTTTGTGTTTTTCAGTGTCCATTGGCTGTAGGGATCATCTTAATCTGGATTAGCAAAGAAACTTTTATCAGTCGTAGAAGTGCATTCAGTGGTTAT